TCAGAAGGGGTTTTGTAGAGAATTTGGTATTTTCATAGTTGAAATCATGAATCAATTGAAGCTAGACCACCATAGAAAATCTGGAAGCACCAAGTCTGTTGTAGAGATATCGACTCACTGAAGACAATTGGTGAACGGTTGCTCAACTTCGTGAATTGGTTGAAGTTAGACATTAACACTGTTGGATACCGGCCCGCTCAGTGGTCTATCGGTTAAGTGTTCTGGCGCAAGTCTGGTAGGTCCTGGGTTCGAGTCCCGCAAGGCGAGATCGTGGATGCGCACTGATTAGCAGTCCCACAATAGGACGAAACGGCCATCCAGTGCTTCCAGGTTTTCCATGGTGGTCTAGCTTCAATTAACTCATGATCTTAACTATATAAAAAAAGGAAAACAATCCATTCCATCAAATAAATATTCATCCAAAAAATGATGAGTTTTACAAATGCCAAATTAAAAAATAAAAAAATCAATATATATTGATTTTATAATAGATTACCATATTATCACTTCAGAATAGGTTTTTTTTCGTTTGCTTCAATAAGTTACTATTGTGAATTTCTTCTTTTTTTATTTTTTTTGTTCAGAAAATTAGCAACTTCTTGATGTAAAAACAATGTGTATTACTTACTTAGTTAGTTACTTACGTCTGTTACTCCTAATAGAGTATAGGCCACCGAACAGCATTCTCCAACCCACTATGTCCTGAACCTTCCTTTCTGGTCCTATCCAATTGTTGTTCATTCTTATCATATCTGTTTTCATTTCTCAGCGTAATGTGTTCTTTGTTCTTCCTCTTCTCCTTTGACTTTGAGGATTTCATGTATGGGCTTGCGTTGTTATGCTGTTGGGTGATTTCCTTAATGTGTGTCCTATTCACTTCCAGTGCTTCTTACTGATCTCCTGCTCCCCTGAAATATGGTTTGTTCTCTCTCACAGTTGGTCGATGCTTATAGTGTCTGGTCAATGGATTGGAGGTATTTTGAGTAGACAACTGTTAATAAATACCTGTATCTTCTGGATGATGGCTTTCGTAGTTCTCCACGTCTCCGTCCCATACAGTAGAACTGTCTTGACATTTATATTGAAAATTCGGATCTTGATATTGGTTGACAATTGTTTTGAGTTCCAGAAAGAGTGGTGAATTCCATTCAATCGATTGTTTAACAATGATCCGTAGAGTTGCGATTCGGTCTGGACACGAACGAACCTTATGGAATCCAGTTTGTTGGGCTCAATTTCGGGCGTCCACGGAGTCTTTCATTCTGTTTAACAACACCCCGTTGAAGACTTTTCCTAGTGTTGAGAGAAGACTGATGCCCCTGTAGTTATCACACTTGCTGAGATTGCCTTTTTTGGTATCTTGATCAGAATTCCTTCTTTACGGCTTGTTGGTAGTTGTTCTTCATCCCAAATCTTACTGAAGAGAATGTGGAGTGTCCTTGCAGTTACTGCTACGTCTGTTTTCAGTGCTTCTGCTGAAATGTTGTCTTGTCCCGCTGCTTTGCCGCTTTTGATTTGTCTGATGGACATGCTGATTTTTTCAATTGTTGGTGGGCCGACATTTATTAAGAGGTCCATGGGTGCTGCTTCGATTTTGGGTTGGTTCAGTGGAGCTAATCGATTTAAGTGTTCTTTAAAGTGCTTTACCCACCTGTTCCGCTGTTCCTTAATGTTGGTGATTACCTTGCCTTCCTTGCTTTTCACTGGTTATTATGGTTTATGATAATTTCCAATGAGTTTCTTTATTGTATCATACAACTTTCTCGTGTTTCCTTCTCTTTCAGCATATTCCCCCCCCCTTGTTAGATCTTCCACATATTCACGTTTGTCGGCTCTGATGCTTCTCTTCACATGCTTGTTTGCTCCTGTGTATTTAGCTTGTGTCTTGGCCTTTTCTGTTCTTATTCGGCTGGTATTGATTGCTGCCCTCTTGTTTCTCCTTTCTTCAATCTTATCCAGTGTATCAACAGTGATCCATTCCTTGTGATGGTGATTCTTGTGGCCCAGAACCTGTTGACATGTTGAAGCGATTGCTTCTTTGATGCCTTTCCAGTTGTTCTCCATGGCAGTTCCCTTTCCAGTGAGTAGGTCGTGAAAGGTCTGGAACCTATTGCTGAGGACTATCTTGAATTTGTTGAGTTTGTCAGTATCTCGAAGGTCGTATTAAACTTTTGTGATGTTGTCCACCCCGTTGTCCAGTGCTTCTTGAGTTTTAGTTTCATCTTGGCGACCAGCAAGTGATCATTTGATACTATATCAGCTCCTCTTCTGGTTCTCACATCCTCCATCGTCCTCCTGAACTTTGTATTGATGCAGATACCCTCTTGGTTTGTGTTGAAGTTGGCTTTGATGATCCTGGGTCCATGAGATTCCCATCCTATAAGTGCATTTTTGGATAGCATCAGTGCAATGCTTTGTGTATGAGGAGCATTTTCTTCTTCATGGCCGGAATATATCAGTAGCTCTCCTGAAGCTAGTCTTTGGTGTCCAACCTATGTTTCACTGACTCCAAGCACCTCTAGGTTGTATCTTTAAATTTCTGCAACATATCAGATGACTCTTTCTGTCTTCCATATTGTACGATCATTCCATGTATCTAAATTAATGGTTGCTCTGTATGTCAGAATGGGCATCGGCCTCGTGACTTCTGAAGGAACTCGACCTTCATTCTGAGGCGTTATAACTCTTCTAAATGAAAACCTAACTCCCCGGGCAGAGTTTAAATGGTTTTAATAAATTTTTTTCTGGTTAGTGTTCATTTAGCGAGTTAGTTTTCTACCGGATGGGGTCGCTAACCCCATGCTCAACCCTTCTTCTTTGTGTGGGCTCGGAACTGGCAGTTGCCCCAGAGGGGCTCCAGGCGGAGTTTTTGTAGACTGATAGATTATGAAAAAGATAAGTGATATTAATGTGTAAACATATTTTATGTAGTGATTCTACTGTTCTTTGACAACTTACTCTGCTTTTAAAACTGAAGAAACAGTGTAAATTTATCCTTCTGGATATCGATTGTTCGTCTTCTCGAATCCATATAAACTCAAATAAGCTATTTAAGAGTCCCTGGATTATTCTTAGAGTAAGTTTTCATCACGAATTAACACCACCAACAACGCAATAATGCACTGTAACCATACGAATGAATTTTGCGCACAAAAGCAAGAAGCCTTACTTTATTAGTTCGTTCAAGAAATATAGTACCACCAAGCTAATTTTATTTGAAGATTAAGCGTTAGTGTCGAATAAACTTACGCTGCCTCAAGCCCTTCTATGGTTACCATCTGTTCCTAACTCAGATAAAATTGCATGGTTGAGGATACGATTAACGGTCCCATACCGTAGAAAATAACTGTTGAAAAAAACGTCTATCAGTCGGATAAACTCTCACGTAAAATCAACAGACACGGAACTGAATATTTGATTTATTTATTATTTAAACACATAAATATTGGTACAAGGAAGCACCAGATACATATGCACAATAGAAACCTCATTCGATTTGTGTGAAGGCTGTGATACTGCCCAAGCTGAAGCAGGTGGTTTTCTTAGGGGGCCACACACGGAGCCTTTGACCTAAAGGTCTGATCCACAAGGTAGTGGAGCATCGTGAGGAGGTGCAGTCCCATGGTAGCCGGTGACCAACAATTGATTCATACGCCATTTGTTCCCTCAGGATATTAGAGCCCATGTGCACCATTGGTTTGTAATCAGGGTTTTCCAACTCCCCTAGGTGGACTCGCAGTGTCCAGCAACTTTGTCAAAGCGCCGGACATTCGCTATTCATCCTCTCAAATTCGTAAGCAACATCCCCGCCACGAAAAAGCAGTGTGTTTTATATGCTTAATATTATCATTTTTAGACTATGGCAGCAAACAGAAGTTTTTCGCTACCATTTTAAACATTTGAGGAGCATACAAAAGTACTTTTACCACTCGTTATACTTGATATTTGAATTTTGCTTAGAAACTCATAAGTTATACTGCAGACTCTGAATGGCTCGTCGCGATACTATACTTCCTCCGCTTTTATTGTTTAAAATCGGTCTTCTTTTCTGAAACATTTTTTTCTTGTATTGTTGACAATCAACCAGAACACACATTAATTTGCCCTTCTGCTTTAACATCTTTTAGTTCGTAACGCCTTCGAAACTTTACGTCACCAACTTCTAGTTTTGTTAATCAGATTGTCTCAATCTCGGGATTGTGTTATTTGTAATTGTTGCCAATTACTTTCCTTGTTACATGGACATGCATCCTGTATTTATTGAGACGTTGGCTCACTTATTCCCTCATTCTTTACCCTTAAAGATTATCTTTCGCACTCCCCCCAACACACAAGGTACTTTTCAGGCTAGACACAAACCTACCAAAAGTTGAACGTTACAAATCTATATTTTCGTTGTGGAAATGTAAAACATTTCAAGTTGGATCGATTCATAAATTTGTCCTCAGATGATACCAATAATATAACAAAAAAAGAATGACATGTAACTATATATATCATTAGTAAAAATTGCATTTAGTGTAATACTTTCAAAACATTTGGTTAACATATATTGATATGAAAGAAAGATTAGTTGAAAAAACAGCAAATAATCTGTCTACATACACATACAGCACTAACAAACAGACAAAAGATATAAGCCATTCAAAGTTCAACAGTTGATATCTTCGCAATTCATATAAAAATACAAAGATAATTACTCAAGGAAGTATATGTAAAACAAAGGCGGGGAACAGGAAACTCTTTAGATTACAGTCAATAAACCGGTAAACATAGAAAGATATACAGTGTGTATGTATATACATACTCGATCAAGTAAAACATCAATAGGCATAACAAGCAACTAAATGATTTATGAACTGAAATTCAAGATTTTCGAATGACCAACAGAAATAAACTGGATTAAAGTTTTCTCGAAATAAAAAGCTATGTCTACATATGTATGAACAAAGACACATTGCAACAATGTATGGCTTTTAGAGTTTCCTGAACCTGATTAACTATTCTGTGGTTTCTTTAAACGTATCAACATTACCATCATCTTTTAAATTAGATTGCTCATTAAATTCATTGGCTAAAATTTCATGAGGATTACAAACTACAGTCTCATTACCAAGAACACTATCATTATCACTGTCATGACTATACAAACTATTTTTTGAACTTTTGATGCCTTCTTTCATTCTTTTAACATTTGATTTAGTCGATTGGAAATAAGGTGTTGTTTTTGAATTATTTGTCAAATCATTGGTGTTTTCTATATTTTCGGTTGATAATTCAGTCTTCAATCGTGTACGACGTGCTGGATTAAAATGATTACAATAACAACATCGAAATGCTGGAAAAAAAGGCAGCCGTGTGATCGAAACATGTCAGTGTGGAAAAGGGGAAGGGAAGAAATTTTAAAAAAAAAGCGATAATTGTAAAGCATAAACAAGCATATATAAAATTGTAAATAGAGAAATAATTGTGACCGTTAGATTTAAGGACATATACTTTCACCGGTAAATACCTAGAATTTAGTTAGTTACAAAGTACTTTTTTAGGTAATCAACACAAAAATGTATATTTTATGAATTGGACTTTGATATTATAAGAATTTTAAATGACATCGAAAACTTATACCATATAGAAGGAATTAGAATTGTGGTGTAACCTTTCAATTGAATGGTTTCAGCATGAAATTCCGATGTAATGAACGAATGTGGGATAAACCGATTTATTGTATTACGAAAAAATATGCGCTGCATTTGTAAAATATGAAAATAATACATCATATGAACATCGTCCTTGAATTGTCTCTTACAAGCTCCATTATCCTTTTATTCTTTTTGCTACTTGGACTGAATTCGCTTTTCTTTCTTTTTTCCTCATACTCCTCTTCTACCAGTAAGAATCTTACATCCAAATCTCGATACTTACTACTTATATCTGTCCGTATATGCAGTCACACATCGCACCGAATGTATTGGTAAACAGCATCATTCATTAACAGCCCAAACTTTAAAGTAAAGTGATCTAATGAAATTTTCACACAAATGACTACTGATATCTTGTACGTTTGAAATGGAGTTTAGAGTTAGTTATCAATAGTGGTGCTAATGATATTTACAAATTTACATTGTTCTTTTACCCATTGACTGATAATAGATTGAGTTTATTTAAATGCTTACTAAATTAATATATGACATGGACTAGTTGAAAAAAAGGAGATGGTTTAGTGGTTGAAGTCATCGGCTTTTCACCAGAGGGGTGGAGGTTTGAAAACCGTTTTGGCTACTTACACCTAGGAATCCAGATATTCCTATCCCTACCCCAAACACAGTCAAAGCCAGTCCATGATGTGAACTATCTTCAAATTATGTAATCCACACCACTTTACCATCGTAACAATGATCATTCTCTTTAAAAAAAGTTAGGGATTCCTAGTAGGAAATGGCGACTAGTGGAGTGTAAATATGTTCAAAATGAAACAGTTATCAACAGTAAAATTGAATGATGATAGTGAAATATCATGAACTCAATTAAGTTGGAAATACGGAACATTCAATGACGTACTGGTGGTCTAAGTGTAATTTACACGGAGAGGTTTTATTTTCGATCTCCGGCTAATCGATAGGTCCACAATAAGAGGCTTTACTTTTAGGATAAAACATTATTTACAGGTTTTAATGTTCATTAGTCTGTGATTTAAGCTACCTTTGTATACTTAAATCAGGCAACACTACGTGCTTTAGACCCGACCGTTGCCGCTACCTTGATGTGGTGGTCGGGCTTGCCTATCGTGATGATCCAATCGAGCAATACTGGCTGGAACAATCGTTCCTCAAGGTCCTACCATGCCAGGCAGGTCGGTTGAAGAGCGTTAAGACTAAAAGCAGCAAACCCAAGATCCGAAGGCGAAGTCGTACTGCCGACTGTACAGAGGTGTGACAGCAGTAAAGTATGTCCTTCAGACAACCAGCATAACAGCGATGCTGCCTTCCCACAAGAAGGAGTGGGGTTAAAAAAAGGTCGACCCTAAAAATACACACCTCGCTATATCCCATGAATACCTGTCTCCGGTGGTAAGATACCAACAAGTACGGAGTTAACACAAAAACTACCCACAAAAAGGTTGTGTGTGGCCGGCCTCAAGCAGTTGTCCCTTAGGCACTGAGGTCACCCTCTCAGGTCACTAAGACCACCCCTAATCCGATTTCTATTTCAAGTGCCTCCAGAAGAAACCTTCCACGGTATGGGCAACCGGGAAGTGATAACTGCATTTATACCTCTAACAGCACTCAAGATCACTAACTGACATGCTTTAAGATAGTAGTACAATCTAAATCGTTACTTACATGAATTAGGATATTACAGTAATTCTTTTTCGGCAAACTTCAACAGACATAACAGATGACTCAGCACTACCCAGGTGTGTTTATTTGTACATCAACCACACGCGCATTAAAGTACGTTGTTGGGGATAAGCAAGTGATAGAGTAATTTTTGCATTCAAAATCAAATGTCATTTTAACGTTCCATTTATGAAACGATGGTTACAAATCAAGTTTCGATACAAGGATTCGAAATAATTGGTAAGAAGCCAACCTTTGGTTACTTTGAGTTTATTTAATCACATCTTCTAAACTATTTTATACATATGGAAGCGTGTTCTTTATTTTTAGAAAAAAATAGTTCCTACTTCGGATGCTTCCAAGTAAAATTGCATTGGTTTCCTTTAACAATCAAACATTAAACAGTGATCCAACATAAGTTCAGCTGGATATTTATTATGTATCGCTTTACAACTATTTTATCTTAACAGTACCAGACCAGAGAAATGTCAAAAATTTAACAGTATTTGGTAGGGAAAATAATGGTTTTCAACATTTCAAAAGAAACTACGTTATTTGAATAGTTAGTAAACTGACCTAAATATTCAAACTCTTCTTGTAGTGCCATTCCATTGTGTGATGAACATTCATTGCAAATCAGAGCAAATCGTTTATCAGGACCATCGCCAACTAATGCATCTAAAACTTTATCAATAATTGAACGTTCTCTAGGCAAAAGCGGTCTTAATAACCGCGGTTTTTTAGAACATGGTGTTTGATTACTCCCGAGCATAGGGGTACTTGACTGTGTAGTTAAATTTGGACCTATTTAAAAGAATAATTGAATTGCAATGAATTATATACAATCTCATTTATCGTATCTGATTATTCTCGTATTAATAGTTTGTATATAAGCATGTTATTTCATTACAAACTCTATAACTGTTGGAAATGTGAAACCCGCAAATCAATATCGATTTAAGGTGAATTTAAGGTCAACTTTGAGTACATTTCCACTATGTTACTACATTAACCATTAATGTATTTTACTATGATTTGTGTTCAGTGACGATTACTGATAAATACAAACGTAGTTTTATTCACCAAATTTTCGGGATCTCCACTATCGCGCCATCCTTTCAAGACTTCTCTTTTCTCTATTTTAATCGTGAAGAAATAAGTTGTCGTAGAAGTGTTGTACGTTAGACTTCCATCCTGGTTAAGTTTGAGCAGCTGAGGAGTATCCCAGCCCACACATAAACTTAATTGTTTGTGTGGTACATATATATCTCAGTGCCCTCTTTGTACCAGTGCTTATGTGCTTAAATAAACAAATGGGAAGTACAGACTCTAGCAATTATCCTACGTGACCAAAAGTATTTTTATACAATTGTTTATCGGAATTTCAAGAATTATTTTTTATCATGGGGCCCAGATACTGAACGTTGATTCGACTTGCCTTAGTTTACAAAACTAATAATTTTGACACCGTATGTTCATGGTTCAGTCAGTCACAATCAATGTCAGTTAGCTACAACGTAAGATCAGGCACACATATGCATCGATCCAAGTTGCCATACCTCATTAGCACAACAAGATCACCGAATTCGTAGTAGTTAATCCTATGGTGATAATATATGAAAGAAAGATATGAAGCAATTTTAACTTCATAGTTTAAGCGAAGACAGGGAGTGTATATACCTACTCCATTGTGATCGATTCTGAGCCATGCCACCTAGTCTCCAACCATTGGTTACGATAGTCACGCGGACCCCAATCAATGTAGAGCCCGGTACAAAAATGCATCGGCCCAAGTTAGCTACAGCATTTGGTTTCCTGTTAGGAGGTTTCAGAAGCTAATATGGTTTAAGAATTGAAGTAGGATTGCTATATCTCACACTAACAGTATGGCTCAAAGCCGAGTATATTAGGAAAGAATTGGTAAACCAACTGTAATGACTGATAGACAATAGCCTGAAATAGGATAGATGAAAAGTCTAACTGTTTCTCCAATCAAAATGGGGTGGTATGCTGACTAGCAATTTTGCCTGCAAGAACTATTTATCCAAATATGTGATGCTAAAAGTCTTGATAAATTAGGGCTAAATGAAATTTAATTACATTCCTGTCAAATGGAAACAATAAGATTATATCATGCTGGAGACGAAAATATTATCAGTCAGTCATTTAGTTGTACGGAGTGTAGAATCTGACATGTATGCGTCGGATTAAGTTGGCATACTACATTAACACGCCGAGATGAAGTTATTTTGACATAAGTCCCAGAGTAGCAGTAGTAGTAGACTAGGAATAGAAAATGTAAAAAGATATAAGATTTTGAGACAGAGCATTTAAAGGATGACAAGGAGAATGCACCTGTGCCGCTGAGAGGAATTAGTAGCCATATCACAACCATTGGTTACCGTAATCACACTGACCCTAATCAGACAGCTTACAACTGTTACCATGGCTCAGTCCAGTTGTCAACCACTTTGGTTTGGGCACCCTTAACTTTCTCCCAGACTACTACAACGGACAACATTGCTCATCGATTAAGGTGGTGGTTTTGGAGACGTAACACACCTCTCAAACACCTCAGTTGGTAGGAGTTCGCTACGTAGTATCTTGTCTAACCTCAGCTTCTGAGACACCCACAACTGAATACAAGTAAATGTAAAAGGAAATGAGAAAAATTTGTATCCTCTATCGTTCTGCAGTTTTGTGCACGAGAACGTAAAACATATAAAGACAACAAAAACGATTTTCGAATACAAAAAAACTAAACCCGCAAGCTTCAGTCTGAAAGTAGTATTCCTACCTAATAATCCTTGAGTTAAATGTTTATCCCCCGAATTATTCCTACGGCGTACTTCAGAGTGGGGAGTGCCAAGGTTAATCATCGATCCAAAAACCGGTTTGGGGACTTTCTTATCCTGCTTAGCCCAAATGACAGTATACTTTATCTTACCTCAACAGTTATCGAAGCAAATGTTAATGGATCAAAACGTTTGAGGATTTGTTGGGCCTTGTTGAACGTCTCCTTTTCCATCACCTCTTCTAACTTGCATTAAAAATAAATACATCTATAAAAACGCACCAATTTTTGTTTATCAGCCCGTAGCCTTTTTAGTTTCTCATCTAGAAATAAATTTAGGAAAATATGACAACACTAACTCGTCTTATTTACGCGTCTAGTAAACATCATCCGAAAAATATACTTCAGGAAATATATACTAGAAAGTTAGTCAGCTTTAAATAGAAGTACCAAAAAGGATATACAGCAAATATCATACATATCACCACCTTCCCGGTTACTGTTCTTGGCCAGTAGTAGTAATAAACCGTTATAAAACTCAAGCCAAAGAATATGAATGAGTAGAAAAGCAGTCGGAAAACGAACTGTTTTTCTGAGTCTATACTGCTTGATCGATCACTTTCCAGTTCCAAAATTTCCTAATTACTGATAATTAAATGTCAAAAGAGTTACATCATCGATGTCCTCCAATCGATCAACAATGGACTTTTTGGACCCCTAAAACACTATTTATGGTTTTTATTTTATGAAACCTTGAAGATCCAAAACAGGTATTTCTTAGCCCAGCTCATGGGACGACAGCACAACCATGACCTTTATTAAGGTTGATAGAGGCGCTATTCAAACCTCAAACTTTCAGTCTTCTGTGAAATGGTTCAAATGGTTCAAATGGTTGAGGACGGAATAGAAGAAGCTTTCGCTTAACGGGCTTCCGTGTCTGGTAGCAGTGGATCACCAATACCTCCAGGCAAGAACCTAGGTATATGAACAAGGCTATTAGGTTAGTGAACCTGTATTATTCCTTACAGTTTGTTTTTCAATGGAGGTTTAGCTTATCCTTGAAAATGTTCACTGATTATGTTGATACCATTTGACCCGGTAAGGCACTCCAGTCATCCACCACTTGATGAGAAAAACGGAAACCACCTCTGAGTTTATTGAATCGTGGTTTTGAACCTTCTTCTTATGACCTAAAAGATTATTTCTGGAGGGAGCAAAGAGATGAGACAACTTAACACTTGTTATATCCTCCGGTGAATTACGAATGGTAACTTTTAGGTATATTTATGGACCAATGTAATGCGTCTATTTCCTATTGTACAATTATTACGTAACTGCACTATTCATATTCGTATTTCTCTAATCATTAGCTTTATTTTGACCTTTGATTTATTATCATACGATTCTTGAGTTATAATCAGTTTATTGATTACTTTGGTTTGTATAAAAACCCAGTGTGTGTTTAAATAATGATTCATACCACTGAGGCTGTTATTGGTGTTTTGGGCTTAACTGGTTGGGCTAGGCAGATCGCAGGACCGGTTAGCACTCTAGTCTGCTCGTACAGGTTTCGTGTCACTGTTTCAACCGATAATTCGCTGCTCCCTGTTTGGCGGTTTTATCGCGTCACACATCAACTAGTCATCCACTCGGCCACAAGCATAACAACACTCAAGTCGTAAATAAAGATACAGAGTGCCAAAGTAAGGTCATTTCGCGTTCTACGATATGATAAGTGGGAAAAGGTCTATGCGTTTTAAGCGCTCATCGTAAGGGAAGTTTAGAGAGAAAATTTATTAATTTTGTTCCCATATGCTAAACATGATAAGGCGTGTGAACATGGCTAATAAGACATGGACCAGCTGTTTGGATACAGTACTTTTAGTGTCGTCTTACGTAGGTGCCACATAAAACTCGAAACATGCATTCAAACCATTTGAATTCTTGGCGAAGTAACCATAATGCACGAAATGTTTCGGCAACTTCTGCGTCGCAATGTGTAGTTATTTTGAAGTAGAGAATTACTACTACCCCTATATCTTTGTGTTCCTGTAGGCATGGGAACAATGTACCATCGACAATATACAGGTGACTGTTGCCGTGTCTGATATGCATGAGCAAACTCTTTCTAAAAAAAATTTCCAAGCCCCAACATCGAAACTATTTAACTAATCCGTCTAGGTCAGATCAAGACGATCAGCCTCAGTTCTCATTATTCTCCACATTTTTACATCATACGAAAACAGTTATATCGAAGACGTAAGTAATCGCCGGTAATCCATCGACATAGAAAAGAAGTAGGGGACCTAAGATGGTGTCTTGGGGTACATCACTTTTGACTGGCTTCCCTCCAGGTAGTGTCTCATTTACTCTCAATCTGTCTTCGGCTACATAAGAAGCTTCTTATACCTCCCTGTGAAGCACCCGTTATTCCAAGACTCGAAAGCTTATGCATAAGTCCTAGGTGAGACCCCTGTTAAATGTTTTGCTAAATTTTATGAATATCACATTGAACTGCTGTCCGGTCCTCTCTCGTAATAAGTATGTTGGTCAAGAATACATGCTTGTTTCGAGGCCCATGTTGCTCGTGAGTTAACCGATTGTATTATTCTGTGTGACTCAGTAACTTAACCCGAATTATTTTTTCAAGTAACCTAGCGACTATAATCGTTAGGCTGACAGGTCAGTTGTTAGCTACGATCCGTCTCTAAGCATCGTTAAATAGATAACTCACTATAGAATCCTCCCATTCCTCAAGAAGTAAAGTATGGAAAAGAAACATGTTCAAGTGCACCGTGAGTGGCCCTGAAGTAATGTCCGCGAAAGATATCAGCAATCGCGGATGTAACCCTTTGGTATCTTACTAGGTATGAGGTTAATAATCAACTGAGGTTCAGTCTCCACAGTCATATGTATAGGTTCTATAGCTTGTATTTCAGTGATGTAACTATAACAAGTATTGTTAGTAATACCCGTACAGTAGACTTCGCTGAAATAGTTTGGTAAAGCCTCAACTTTGGTAAGATTTGATCAAGCTAGTATATTTGAATTTTCATGCAACATCATTTAAAGGTTACTATCACTACTCTTTGCTCTTCGTTTACTGTACAAAAACAATCTATTCGGGTAGATATGGCTACCATATACAAACTGTCTTTCGAAAGTAGTGCAGCATCTAGCAATCGCCTTTTCGATATATTTCGTATTTTTCCAAAATCACACCTAAATGATTCGTGTCTCATTGACAAGAATAAGCCCCAGACTTGTTTACTACCCCTCAACAGCTTTCGGGCTTCCTTGTTAATCCATGGAGAGCAATATGATAGCCTACATTCTGGCCATTGTACTCGAATATGGCGTTAGACTTATTCTATTAGTCTTTGATAGATCCAACTGCATTGACCAACCATTCTGTTGAGACAGCAAGTCTCTGGTAACAGGAATGTTAGTTTGCCAGTTATTGGGACAAGGTTTAGTGGATACGTACTGTATACGGTTTGTCTGAAACCCAAAGTACAATGTGATCATTATTCGCCAGTCTGCGAAGGTGCTGAATGTCGATGACGTCGTCATAGTTGTACGTAAAAACGAGGTACGACAATTACGGTTCATGTTTCAGATCAATGTGTCAGTTTTGCAATACATTGTACAAGTGCACGCCGAATAGTGGTTGATAACAGGTTCATGTTAAACATTCGCCCGAAGCTTTGAGCCCTGTCCGGTTGGTATACAGTGCTTTGAAATCCCTCACGATGAGACAGCAGTCGGCGTTACTCCAGTAATAGATATGTATTAAGATGAAGTCATCGGCAAAACAACGTGGACTACATGTATATTTCTCCTATAGCCACTAAACTGTGTCTAGGCCTAATTATACGGCAAATTACTTCATATATACCACTATCATGCTCTTCCTATGTGATCGACTGTGCACGACAATGATCTCTGACATATCGTATCATCCTTCCTCCATTGCGATTTATAATTCGATCACTTCTTGAACATATATATCCTGCAGTGGTTGAAGAACAGTAGATGCCAACGATGAGTCACATTTCTGTGGTAACAATTATATCCGGACGTAACTTATCCACCAACAAGTTTAACTGAGATGTTTTAGTGCTGAGACTATGAGCACTCGTGTAGCATGCCTTTGAGATGTTTTGGGAATCACTCGTTTTACCCACACAGCTCTTGTAAGCATTGGCTTCCAAGCCCTGACTGCAAGAAAGCCCTGAGTGTTAAGGTATATTCTGTCCTTTCGCTATCAAGTTTTGAACTCAATAAGGGCATTATTTTACTAAATTAAATCCTAAAATGGCCAGTTTCTTCGGGTACGAATATTCAAATTACTTGTTTTGTACGCGTCAATGAGTATGAGGTCTCGTTCCTTATAACTTCTGAGTATCAACTTCAAGATCATTCTTCGTTTGGTCTCGCCTCCAACCCATTTACCGAGTCTTACTATTTAAGTAGTGTATACTCTTAAAACCTTTTCTGACAGTGCATTTCTGGTGGTAAGTTCGATTAGCTCCAAATTATGTGTATTCCTTTTAGCAAGGCCATTTTTTTGACTCCTCAAGATTCCGGTTGGTTGAACTTAGGAAATGGATTTGACTTCTTTGAAAGTTATGTTACGACCTTCAATCGTGTTGTCATTTCCTTATGATAACTACTGGACGCTTTTATCTAGTTGTTTTTGGATAAGGGTCGTTTGATTCGAGTGAATTACTTGCAATAATATTCTGTGAGATCAAATGTTTGCAACCACTTGAGACTTTGGCAGAGTAGTCTGTAACGCATAGTGTGAGACCACCAAAAACTTGTCAACTAGACGAGTGCTACTTCCGGTCCTGTCTCTCTCTTATTTATTTCCGCACTATCCCTCACTTCCCATCAATCGGGGCATCCACATCGAAATTACTTAGGATGGTGATGGTTTTATGTTGGTCGTCAGATACTGATGAAGAATTGTGATCACCAACATCCAGTGGTATTTCACTCTTTAATTGTTTCTAAAGAGATTTCTCAACCTCATGTTAGACATCCGGTTGTTTGGCTCGTCCCGTAACAACACTCACTTACTCAACAAAATATACAAAGTTGATGGGAGTTAGGCTTTGAACGCCTCTTGTATGCTGTAGGATTTGAACGAGTAATCATCTTATGGAACCAGTTTCTGCATTCATCATATTGCATCCCTTCCTCTACAGGGAATCAGTAATTTGAACGTCCACATATTTCGGTAGAACCGACTATTTTAATAAGATATAAAGGGGAAAAATCGACCAACCACATTACATAATCACTGACCTAACAAGCAACTAAAAAGAGCAACACAAAATGGACTTGATTTGATAAATCAAGTCAAAGTCGACCAATTATGCTTTGGTGCAATAAGTACGCAATAGCAAAGTTAGCTCACAAGTACCAAGTCACTTCCCTTTTTCTGAAGCTTGTTTGCCTGACTAGGAAACATAACTAACTGTATGTTGCTTGGGGTCTAAGTGTCAGCGGCATCAAATATTTATTGGTTGATAGACTTTATGGTTCGTACAATGTTCATTTACAATTCGAATGGTAAAAACTACGGAAAAAGTATTGGAGGGGCAAAATAGAGTAATTCTTTTCAGGAATTACGACATCATTTCCGACACTCATACTCTTTTAAAGGGCTTAGTTTAAGATGAATTTAATAGCTCCTCCAGTGTGTAGTGATGGCTACTTATGGTTTAGCGGGGTGTTAATATTTAATGATAATGATGCTTATTAGTTATGCCGAATACCCCTT